CCTTCCTTCCTTCCTTTCCCCCTTGCCTTTGTCTCCATCAGGGTCACCGGCCAGCATGGCAGCCGTCCCCCCTCCCACCATCTACAAAATCCGAGTGGCCACCGGCAACTATCTCTTGGGTGGCACCATGGACAACATCTCCATCTCCTTGGTGGGCACCCACGGCGAGACCCCCAAGTTCCAGCTGGATAAATTTGGCAAAGATTTCTCTCCAGGAAAAGTAAGTGCTGGGATGTTGACACAGATGAAAACTAGCTGGGGAGCCTCCAGCTGTTTATTACAGCTCCCATCATCCTCTGCCCCCTTCCTGAAGGCTGGCAGGAAAATCTTCCGGAGGAAGAGATTAAGATTAGCCTTTGCCACCCTAGATGGCAACCGGAAAAACCTGCTTCAGTTCAGGGTTTCTCAACCTTGGGTGTGTGGACTTCAGCTCCCAGAATTCCACAGCACAGCTGTGGAATTCTGGGAGTTGAAGTCCAGACATCTTCTAAGGGCCAAGGTTGACAAACACTATTTCATTTCATGTCATTTCATTTCACATCTTGAGTGTCTTTTGCTTTTTTTCATCTCTTCTCATCTCATCTCATTTCATATTTATTTGTTTGCTTGCTTGCTTGCTTGTTTCATTTCATTTACTTGTTTTCATTTACTTGTTTGTTTGTTTGTTTACTTGTTTGTTTGTTTACTTGTTTATTTATTTGTCTGTCTATCTATCTATCTATCTATCTATCTATCTATCTATCTATCTATCTATCTATCTATCTATCTATCTATCTATTTAATCTGGTAGTCTTCTGGCATTTGCAAGCCAGATCTTCTGGGTTGACTTTCCAGATTTTCCAATTTCTCCAGCTGAGCTTTTGAGCTTTTGACATGCAAGGAGAGAGTCTCAGGTTTTTAGGAAGAAATTGCAACAGGACTCATCCAACTGGAAGAAGAGATTGTTCTCTGCTAATTTCCCCCCCAATGGGTGCTTTGGGGGGGGAGAGAAGGGGGAGGAGAAGGACTTGGGGTCCTGGGTGTTGTCTGAACTTGGCTGTTTTCTTACAGACATTTCATTCATTGATTAGGGAATATCATCAGCATGATGGTCATCAAAATAGCACTGATGACGTTCCCTAGTTGGGTCATGAAATGTCCGCAAGGAAACAGCCAAGCTCAGAGAGCACCAAGGACCCCACAGTCTTCCTCCTCCTCCTCCTCTTCCTCCTCCTCCCTGCAAATCCCATTCCCTCCTAGCACTGATGATGTTACCTAGTTGGGTCATGAAACATCTGCAAGATTTACTCTCCCTCTCTCTATTTATTTATTTCTCCTTCCTTCCTTCCTTCCTTCCTTCCTTCCTTCCTTCCTTCCTTCCTTCCTTCCTTCCTTCCTCCTTTCCTTCCTTCTTTCCTTCCTTCCTCCCTCCCTTCCTTCTTTTTAATCTATTTTTCTTCCTTCCTTTTTCTTCCTTTTCTTTTCTTTCTTTCCTCCCTCCCTTGCTCCCTCCCTCCCTTCCTTCCTTCCATTTTTCTTGGACAAGAAAATAACCAAGTTCAGAGAGCACCAAGGACCCCACAGTTCTCCCCCCCCTTCCCCCTCCTCCCTTGTAACACTGATGTCGTTGCTTAGTTGGGTCGTGAAACATCAGCCAGGAAACCACCGAGTTCAGAGGGCACCAACTTTGACCTGCAAATATTCTCTTTTATCAGAAGCAGGAAAGACCTGCCTGTATCCCAAAGAATCAATACTTGGGGTTTTCTTTTCCTTCTTAATTTGATCTCCTCTCGAGATCCAATGAGGGGCTGAAATCCACCCTCCCCCAGGACCCCCAGCCTGCCATCCCCAAAGAGGGGGTCTCTAAGGAACAAATTCAACCCAGCTGCCTTCTTATGAACCAATCTCTAAGCTGAAGAGCTTTTCCCTTTTAACCTCCTTAGCATGAGAAATGATTCAATTTTTGTCTTCTTTGCACAGATCCGAACCGAAATTTAATCTGGTTCCACTGGTTCAATCTGCAACGTGCTTTTTTTTTTTTTAATTCAGGGAGGGAAGTGGAGGTGGGAGGCTAGATATGATCCGAGCATTGCTTCATGTAAGTTTCTGCATTTCCCAAGAAATAGCTCAGCTCCTCTCGCCTCCCACTCAGGAGGCTGTGAGTTTGATCCTAGGTTAGAGGCAGATATTTGTCTCTCTTTGGACATGTTGAGAATATATCTGCCGAACAAAACTCTGCCCTGGTGACACGAAGGGCATCCGGCCAGTAAAACACTCAGCTCCATTCAGTTACCATTCAAATTTTGGGGGGGGGTGTCCATGGTAAAATGGAAATGACTGGCATGGTGGCCTAGAGGGGGAGCTCTTGCCTCCCACTCAGGAGGCTGTGAGTTCGATCCTAGGTAGGGGCTAATATTTGGAATAGAGCCTCCTGCTCGGGCAGGGGGTTGGACTAGATGACCTCCATGGTCCCTTCCAAATCTGTTATTCTATGATATTTAACACAACTTTTCTGTGGCTAAGTGGAACCTTGGCTCAGTGAGCTTGGTCCCCATTTTACGACCTTCCTGGCCACCTTTGTTAGGGGAGAATCCCTGCCATTGTTAAGTGAGTCACAGGGTTGTTAAGTGAATCGGGCCTTCCCCCTTGACTTAGATCCCACATTGTGGTGAAGCCCAAATGGTTGTAAGTGTGGGGAAAAAACGGCCCTAACTTGCTTTTTCCCTAGTGCCGTTGTAACTTCAAATGCTTACTAAATGAAATACCATAAGTTGGGGACCGCCTGTATCCATTTGACCATCTCAGGGTCATGCAATCGCTTTCCTCACCCGCTTCCAACAAGCAAAGTCATTGTTGAAAATCGTATCTGTTTAACGACACCGCAATTCGCTTAACCAACGGGAGGAATTTCCTTTAACCGCTGTGGCAGAAAAGCTCGTAAAATGGAGCTTGGTTTACCGATCAATGGCTTTGCTTAGAGCGGGGGAAATTCCAGTCGCCGTGGTGGTCGTACGTTCAGGAGCAGCCCGTAGCCAGCAACCCTCTTCGATTGAGGTGGAAACTACACAGATCCAATAAGGTCAACTTTGTGACCACAGTGTCAGGACTCCAACAAATCCACCCCCATTCAAATCATGTCTCAAATCTACTCTCAGAGTAAAAAAGATCGATTTATTAGAAGTGGCCATGTCGGCGTTAGCTGGGTGCAGCCGACACTAAAATATGTCATTCATTTCCCCCTTGACCCTGGTCTTCCCCGCACTCCCTGGATGTATATTCTCCAATGGGACACATCCATAGCCAAGAGTCATCCATCATTCCCTCCAGTAATATTCTTGTGCTCCGACAACTTTGGGCTGCCAGGGCGATTATCTAGGCACTTAAGGAATGCACTGTTTTCCCCCACTCCCTTCCTACTGGCAGCTAAAAGTATCGTTTTTAGTTGACACACAGCTGACATTTTTTGGATCTATAGACTTCCCACCTCAATCAAAGGAGGTTTTTCCTATTTATTGGCAAATTAAATTTCCTCGGTGGAGCTTAACCCATCCTTGCGTCCGTGTCACAGCCTCACAGCCACAACTCTGAAAAGGGTTAAGCCAGAGGAGAACAACGGCCAATGGGTGAAGATGGAGGTCAACGAAGTGACCATTTCAATCAACCGATCAATCAGAATAGACCTGGAAGGGACCTTGGAGGTCTTCTAGTCCAACCCCCTGCTCAAGCAGGGGACCCCATAGCATTCCAGACCAATGGCTGCCCAGTCTCTTCTTGAAAACCTCCAGTGATGGAGCACCTACAGCTTCTAAAGGCAATTTCTGTTCCACTGGTTAAGTGTCCTCAGTGTAAAGGAATTTCTTCTCAATTCCTTCTCTCCTTGGTCCATTTCTATCCGTTGCTTCTTGTCCTGCCTTCGGGGGCTTTGGAGCATCATTTGACCCCCCTCATTTGGGGGCAGCCCCTCAAATACTGGATTACTCATATCCTGTCCCCCTTAGTCCTTCTTTTCTCTAGATTGGCCAAACCCAATTCCTACAAATGGGATTCAAAAATTTTTACTACAGATTCTGTGGGCGTGGCTTGATGGGCTTGGCATGGCTTGGTGGGCGTGGCAGGGGAAGGATATACTGCAAAATCCCCCTTCCCTCCCCACCCCACTAACCTGCTTTCCAGCTCCGTTCTCCCATGCAGGGCAACAAAAGGAGACCCAGCCAATCAGCTGGGACTCGACGGGAGGCAGAGAAGAGATGGGATTGGCGGGGCCAGTCAGAGGTGGGATTTGCTGGTTCTCTGAACTACTCAAAATTTCCACTACTGGTTCTCCGGAACTGGTCCAAGCTGGCTGAATCCCACCCCTGCTGCATCTGTTCTCTGTATGTTTTAGTCTCCAGACCTTTAATCCTCTTAGTTGCTCTTCTCTGCACTCTTTCTTTCTTTCTTTCTTTCTTTCTTTCTTTCTTTCTTTCTTTCTTCTTTCTTTCTTTCAGAGTTTCTTTCTTTCAGAGTTTCTTTCTTTCTTTCAGAGTTTCTTTCTTTCTTTCTTTCAGAGTTTCTTTTTTTCTTTCTTTCTTTCAGAGTTTCTTTCCCTCTTTCTTTCTTTCAGAGTTTCTTTCTTTCTTTCTTT